TATATGCAAATCATCAAACGTAGCTCGCTGATATTTACTATATATCATCGGCTGACATTTTCCCGATATCCGATGTTTAATACCTTGAAATTTGTTTCCCAAATCTTTTTTTTTTCTATTTTTTGTTTTATATCTCATATGTTTCCTTCCAAATTAAGGTGTAACTCTTAGTTACAAGCTATATAGTATACAAAATGCCTGAACCAAAATTTTGTTCTTCTACAGTACAGAAGCACATAATATAAGTATGCATTGTAGCTTTGTCGAATCAATATTGATTGCATATTTTCAATAACAGGTTGGGATGATGCTTCTCATACTAAAACTATTATTTTAATGGAGTTATTGTGTTTGTTTACGACTTCAATCCTAGTGTTCAATTCATGTTTTCTTTATTAATACCTCTATTTTTTACAACCTTTTTATAAAGAGGACCCGATAAATTGAAAATTTATGATCTTGATCTAAACAAGGTGTTTCTCGTCGTCTACTTTAGTCCTTCAACAAGTAAAATTATTACTTAGATTTTTTTTGTTTCATGATTTGTTCATTTTTTTTCTTTTTTTGAAGTTACGTGTATGTTTTAATTCCTTAATTATTTTATTCTCATACTTAAATCATGGCATGAGAGGTCTTAATTGATGTTTAATAGTGCAACATACGGATATAGATCATAGATTTGAATGTACTGGTAGAAAGATATTATCCCAAAAGTTAAGACATGAATAAATTCAAGATATGATAATATTAAAAATATGCATGTGTTCTAATGTTGATAATCTATATCATAATAAATTGAGGACATGATAATAATAACAATGTCTCAAAATTGCCACAAAAACAAATGACCAAATTTATAATGTTTTATTGTAGATCTCAACAATAAGATACTTCAATTAGCAAACAGGTCAGTATTTATGTTCACTTAGACGAGGAAGTGATCAAACTTTCTTTTGCTCCCCTACCCGGTGCTACATTTTATTTAGTGTTTGGTGTTAACGGTTACAAATTTAAAACCGGAAAGCTATCAATATTGCACGAGCAATACAAAACAGAGGTGTTATGACTGTGGGTGATGAGAATAATTTATTTTATAGGTGTAATCAATGAAATATTAGAGATAACAATACTAAAAATGAAACTTATTGCTTTATTTAAATGCACTTGGTATGACTATAAAGAAGTATCCAGATGGAAGAAAGACAATCATAATCCAACATCTAACAATGCATCACAAAAGAGCTATAGTGATAAGCCATTTATCTATCCAAGACAAGTAAAGCAGGTATATTACAAAGGATTTTTATAAATCCTAATTGGAGTGTTGTGTGCAAGTGAAAGCCAAGAGATACCTATGAAGTTCTTGAGTGTATCCAAACAGAAGATGATGTTGAAAATGAAGGTGTTGATCTCATTCAAGGTATTGATCTGTGTTACTGTGTACACCTCCAAAAGATATTATAGCTGATGAAGGTCATATTGAGTGGGTTAGAGAAGATATGAGAATTGGCACATTTGTTTGTAGGAAAGATCTAAATGAGGCAAATAAGACAAAAAGATTACAAGTAGTTCATATATTATTATATCTTAACTGAGATTTTATTCTCAATTTATAGATTGAAGATGTTCTGCTTGAATATATCCATTGTTAGATGTGATAAATATTTATCAATATTGATGATAGGAATTTTTTCAAGAAGTGGAACAGACATCCTCGGAAAGAAGAAAATGCTATATGCTGAACCCTGCACACAAAACTTTGATAACACAAATAACTCTACCCAATAAATTGTCATCAAAAAACAATCGATGGAGGTAGTTGTCTTATTCATTGAAAATAAGAGTTTCATTTCAGCCTACTGAGTTTTCCATGTTTTTCATTGCACTCTGAGAGGATAACTTGCGATGAGTGCGATGAAGACTTTGTGAACTATATAGACAATCATGACAAGGTTTTTTTAGAATATATATAAAAATTAATTTATGTGGATGTCTAGGTCACAGAATGCTCTAACTTAATCAGAATGATTATTTTTTTGAGGTAGGAGATGCATGATTATGTGGTTGAACTTATTGATTTGCAGAATTTTCATAATGAAAAACCTCTTGGAAAAAAAGGGAATAGACTTAACATTCAAGTTTGTTAAATTCCGCTATCCTTTTGTGTGTATACAAGTTGTTCTTAGATGTTTAAAACTATAACTATTTGTGAAGAGTGTCAATAACTATTAAAATCTAAATCTGAAAGAGCAATGAAATTTCTTTTTCTGTTTCTAATCTCCAATACTTTGCGCAAGCATGAGCATGATATGGATGGAGGTTTTAAGGTGATTGATCGCAAAGGGAATATTATTTTGGTGCAATGGAGTAGAAAGGAGAATAGCCATGAGCGAGACTTTATGAAAAAAGGGTTGTGTGAGCTAATGCATCAACAAGCACAAGGAGTCTCAAATGATGATGAAAACTTAAAAAGACTTTACCCCTCTAAATTACTAACTATTTGGAGGACATCTCTCTAAGTCTTAATCTACTTATTTTCCTTCATGTGGATCACCAATATGAAGATTTACATTCATTCTTGATAACTTGATGTTTGTAAGTTAAGGAATACAGTGAGATATTGGTTTGTCTTCAATTTTCTTTACTAGTTAGTGCTCTTATCTTATATTGAATGAAGAAGCTTGTCCAAAAAACGTCGAGCACAATTTACCCAAAATCCCTTAAACTTTCAAAAATTTTCTTCCAATAACTAACCCAAGACAACTCACCCTTAAAAGCCAGCTTGTAGATGGAGAGAACCTAAATCCCTTATAAACCCTAATCAAGTCACCTATACAACCGATGTGGGGCTAAGTGAACCCAAACATAGCACCACACCTTCAATCTCGACGCCCACGTAGGCTGGCTTAGCACTACTCTAGTCTCGGTCAAACACTGCAATCCCGGCACCATCCCTTTGGCTTTGCACTAATCTAGTCTCGGGCGAACACTGTAATACTAGTGTCACCACCTACGTTGCTCGATTGCAACTGAAAGGTGGTGGGACGACTCTGATACCACATGTAAGGGACCCAAAAGAACTCACCTCTAAAAGCTGGCTTGTACATGGAGGGAACACAAATCCCTTATAAACCACACCAAGTCATCTATATAACCGACGTGGGACTAAATGGACCATAACACACCACCACACTTCCAATCCCGACGTCCACACAAACTGACTGTGCACTAGTGTAGTCACGGTCGACACTGCAATCCCAACATCACCCCTTTGGCTTTGTACTAAACTAGTCCTCGGCGAACACTGTAGTACCTATATCACCACTAGAGCCATTTGCAACCGGAAAGTGGGGTCGGCTCTGACACCGCTCAATGCTACAGTCATATACTCAATATTAACCAAGCAATCAGTTATAAGGGGGTAGAGTCACCTGAGATCTAGGAATCTCTTGACCCATAATAAAAATACCTCAGAGCAACGACTACAGCATTAGAAATCCAATAGTGGCAACGAATTGAGCATACAACACTTTCATCAAAACTCCACACCTATCAATATGAGCAACAAGCATAGATACAAGAACATAGAAAACGAAGAATGTATTGCTAGTGAAAAGACCAATCATGTTCCAGATCGATCAAACAACATAGTATCTAGCGTGCTCGCTGGGGCTCATTGTCAACAAACCAAGAAATGTCCTACAAATTAACGCCACAACTTACGTGAATGCCAATATAGTTTGCCTTAAGCTACCTAATAGGCATAAAGGCCTTACTGAAAAAGTGCCTACCCCCCAAGAGCTCCCACAATAGTAGCTGTGTAACTTGAACATTACCAACCCATGAACCACTTGCATGAGCGACCAAGTCAGACATGAGGGCCTCGTCACCATGATCTAGAATGCGATAACAAAAAGATTGCCAAAGCTGAACTTAATCGAAAAGGCCTCCCAACAGCCCCCACAATAGCTAGAAGCCTAGAATACCGTATTGATGTGTCAGTGGTTCTTCCTATAGAAAATTTAAGGCAAACTATATCGACATTCATATACGATATGTTAACAATGAGCTCTAGTGAACAGGCCAAATACTACCATGTATGGTCGATTTTAATCGCAATTGGCCTTTTCGCTGGCAACACATTCATCGGCCTCCATGTTCTTGTATATTTGCTTGTTGCTCATGCTGGTGGGTAAGGAGTTTTAAGAAAAGTGGTGATATGTTATTTTCATTGCAACCATCGGATTCCTTATCAGTGTAGCCATTACTATGGAGGTTTAGCTATGGGTCAAGAGACCCTATATTTCAAGTGGCTCTACCCACTCATTGATTGATTGCTTGGTTAAGATTAGGTATGCGACTGTGGCATTCAGTGGTATCAAAGCCGACCCCACCTTCCGGTTGCAATTGAGAGGCGCCAGTGGTGATGCCGATACTGTAGTGTTTCGACCGAAACTAGACTAGTGCACAGCCAACCCGCGTGGGTGCCTCAATTGAAGAGTCGTGGTATGTTAGGGTTCATCTAGTCCAGCATCGGGTATATGGGTGACTTGATGTGGGTTTATAAGGGACTTGAGTTCCCTCCCACTACAAGCTAGCTTTTTAGGGGTGAGTTCTCCCATGTCCCTTACACTTCCCCTTGCTCAAATGAACAATTTATACACAATAAAATCCTGGTTTCCAACTTTTTTTTGTATCCCTAATGCTCTGAGACAAAACCAAGTAACTTCTTCATTAAAAATCCCTATTGGACATTCTCACTTCACCTCACCGCTTAAGAACCTACTCATAATAGTCAAATTCAGTAACTAACCAGACATAACCCAACGTAACAAACCCAACAACTTAAAAAAACAAAAAAAAAGGCAAACAAACAATGAACTCATAAAGATTAACAAAAAAATTACTCTAATTAAGCAAAAGGGCATCCGGGTCATGACCCCAAGAATCAAACTACCAAAATCCAACAAGACCCATAGATTAAAACAAAGAAATCAAACCTTAAACGCTTCGGACTCTCCTCTACTGATGCTGCAAAAGACACAAGGCTTGTCCTGAGCTCTGTTATCACTAGAAACGGCAGAGGGATGGAGAGATCCGGGCCGTTGATGAGGGAACGGACAGTGGGGATGGAGGTGAGAACAGATGGTGCTCAGCCGTCGTCGATGGCGCTGGTCCATTTCTAGCGAGGATGGAACAGAATCGCCATAGCTCCTCCCCCTTTTTCTTTTTGTTTGTTTATTGTTGTTGTTGCTGTCAGCGTTTTATCTTGTTTTTATGTCAGCCATGTTTGTGGATTGATAAGAGAGTGAAAGGAGTAAAACGTTTTGGGCCTGATCGGGTATATTTAGGATTTGGGCTCAGCCACAAAGGCAGAAAAAATTAAAATGATTAGAAATCCTTTACATTCTTGATAGAACTACAAATTTATTATGCGAATCAATGACATCTCTATATTCTCCGTAGAGATAAAGTCTATAAATTTTATTACAAGGATTAATAACATCTCCTTTTTGTAGGAATTATACAGGAATAAAAGCTTTATCAGAACATCTATGTATAGATAGATATGGTAATCTGAGCTATTTGCGGAGGGTTATGGGGACAGTTTGGGAATTTAATTGTTCTCTTTATGGGTCAGACCGCTTGATCATATAAAAAGTATAAGATATATATTTCAATAAAGATATTTTCTTACATGGACTATGTACAAATTTATAATTTGGGAACCCTTTGAAGAAGAAATATTATTGTTGCACATAAGAAATTGTCAGATTTATGTACAACGAAGATCATGGAGAATTTGAAATCAGTTAAATTGACACCAATAACTACCAATTTGAAGAAGGAATATCTTTGGAGGTTATATTCAAGAAATAGTGACATTGTTGATGAGTTAAAGTGTAATTCTATTATTCTAAATATCCTCAACATGCCACGCTAGGATAATAATATTATTTCTAATTAGTAGGAGAAAAACATATGTTATGAGTTTAAAATTCGAAGACTCTAAACATGATACATCTGAGGTGAATAATGCATCTCTATTATAGAATAATGTATGATCATCAAGTTGAGTGTTAGTTTCATTTGAAGCAAAATAGTATTGTCTTTCTAATGATAAATTGTTAGATTAAATGAATGAGAACTCCATTATATAGGATTCGCGCC